AGGAGAGCATTTATTTACTGCGCATACCGACATGTCATTGGCGACTTGCGTATAAAATCTTGGTTTCAGGAATTTCGTCCGAAATTCCGGGCTGTGAAAAACAGTTCTGCGATGCAGACTCCGGGGAGCTTTTATACTGAGGATTAGGCCTATTCTCCCTTTATTTCCCTTTCGCACACACATCCTGTTCGTATCTTTGCAGTGTTTCCCGTTACGTCAGCATCTTTCATCGTTTCCTCTTTGGACGATTGTTAAATTGTTGTCCTTGTTGGCAATCAACAACTGTTGTAGTTTGTCTCAGTTTCACACGTTTGCGGTCTCCAACTTTCTTACTGTTACTTCTTTCGTCAGTTAAAACAAAAGATCGCAAGAGTTTTGAGATGAATGTTAGTAAATTGTAAACTTGTTGAAGAAAACAAGGTGATGTTCACAAGAACAGCAGTTACATTTCATGCTGCAGTAATGTTACGGATTAGCTTCCACACGTGCATGCATCATTGTTTACTTTAGGGATATTTTAAAACTTCCCCAGATCTTATTTTACCTATTACAAATTCACACGAGTCGAGTAAAAACAAGCCGCGCTTTATCAAGTACAGAGGAGGGGATTTCGGAATTATGATTTTCTATTATTTGGCGAATGCAAATTTGCACTTCCCGGCATAACTTCCGCTTAAACTAGCACGGCACACCTGCCTAATTTATTCCGTCTCTTATTTATTATTATTGGGCGGGTCGCCATTTACGTTGAAATTTCTCCGTTTCATTTCCACGGTGGCAATCCCAAAAGCACTACGGGTCCAGTCGTAATGAAAATCATATTTCAGAAGTTTTAATTTCAACAGGCGTGTAGGCTTTTCTACTAGCTACAGGATTTCGACGATTATAAATAGGACGCTCTGTCACACACTCTCAAAGGATCGTTTTTCCGTTATTCAGGTTAAAAATAACAACGCGCATAAAGCTTCGGCAAAACTGTAACAACAAAGACATAATATAGTATTCCATAAATAACGGATTTTTACTCTGTTATTTTTATAATTTGTTTGTTGTTGTTCACGTCCCAGATGAATAATTTATATAAAAAAAAGGAAAAATTGTAATTAACATGACACCAGCGAAAGTAATTAAGTTTACACATTTCTGACATTTATTTGTAATTGTTAGCGGAATAATTAATTTCGGTAAAAAATGGACAATATAATAGAATCAATGGTTTGGCCTTACAATTAACTAATACTGAACAGAATTTCTTGGTTTAACATTCATTACTCATATAGATATTTAATTATGTGTTGCTATAGTTAATTCTTGTTATCATTTTGCTTTATTCATACATCCGCGTAGTATCTCTATCATCTGACAACTTACAGGCGGATATAGTTACAATGTTCGGTTATTTCATTGTTATGTTACGATAATAACCAGTAATGTTAGTGTTCTACAGTCGTTTTGGCTATGGTCCTGCAGGATTTCGTTAATGTTAAGTAATGCACAGCCATTATTGAAATTTCTCTAACTCCATTGTAGCAGCTCTACCATTGGGGAAGGTTTACAACCGAAGTTAACACGGATTTACCTGAAGAAGCGGAATAGAGAATGAGCCAGGATTTGCTTCTTTATTGCCAAATTACTACCAAATTTTCTGTTGACAAGCAATACTAGAAACTGTTTTCTTATTTTACTATAATTATAACTTGCTTTCCCTTTCATTTTACGTACGCTAGAGTTTGCAATTGGTAACATCTGAGGGTTCGTCTGCTTTGATGCCCTTTCAGACTGTGCAAATTATCGTGGTGTGTAAATAAATGTTTCTCTAGGCATGTACAAACGGTTCCGGGTGTGTTTAGGGTTGAATATTCTCGAGAAATTATTTTTAACGAAGAATTTGTGTTAGTAATGTTGATGATTATACTTAAGAAAGGGTAATCGAGAAAAGTAGAGAGATAAAGAAGCGTCTCTTCGAGGAGAGGATTAGATGAAACTTGGGTGCGTTATGTCCAGTTCAATGACGTTTCGGGATTATATCATCCCGTTGGCGCATTAAAAGGGAGAATCTCTGTGAAAATTTAATCCTCATATTAAATTCTCACAAAACAGTTTTCGCTGTAATACCCTTTCAATTACTTGATTATGACTGTGCATGCGAAGTGGAAAAAATTTCGACAGGGGCTTAAGGCAAACAGAAGTTTATTAATGTAATAAAAACTTTACACAATGGTGGGTATAAAAACAGCCGCTTTTATAAAGTAAATACAGTTTTGTTATTGGATTAATTGTACATGAAAATTGCCCGTTGATGGGTTGAAAATAATTTTCCATATGGATCGAGATTTTTCGTGTTACAAATTTTAATTAGGAGTTTTTAAGAGTCGGAATAAAACGGCTTGTTGTGCGAGAGTGTCGTGAATCATTAGGGTCGTATCTGGCTCGTAACTTTTAATCGGCGTCTCCTAGCAGCTCCCTAGATATTAAACCTTTTAACTTGGGCATTTTTCTTGTAACTGTCACAGATAAAATGCTCTCGGCACTCACGGGGCTCCGCGATAACAGCCGTGTCGCTGACATGTTTGGATGGCCCAGTTATGATGGCCGTAAATATTTCACTCTGATAATGTAAATATTTGTCAAGCGAAAGCTTTCTTGATTTGCAAGAAGGAAGCTTTTCCAATGTCGATTAAAAATTTATGTACGTTTTTCAGGACCTCTTCGCTTTCTGATTTTATGTGGAAAGACTTCCCGGTCCATAAAAAAGGCAAGCGAAATTTTTTTACGAACTCTAATTACACTGCATCAGCGCGGTAACGACCTAGAGCTTGAATGACGCTCTGTCAGGGATATTTGAATTATAAAAACAATTTACGTCGACAGATAAAACGGCGTTTTACTAGAGGAGCAGTTAAAAGGTGACGTTTCAACGATTTTTTGTAGTAATTACTCGTTGAGTGTAAAGTGGGTATTTCATAAGAAGTAAAGTAGCAAAAGAAAATCTTTTTTACAATTTTCTAATCTTATAAAAAAAGAAATCTACTTGATGTAAAATTAATGTGCGATAATGTTACGAGCTTTGCAAGTTTGAGTAGTTATTTTTTAAAGTCTAGTTTTTCTTGTTTGTAGAGTTTGTGAATCTAAAAATTTGTAATTATTACCGAATGTAATTTATTATAACAAACTGGAAATCTGATTGGCTACATATATTTTTTGAACAATATCCACACTGTTTGCTTCTTCTGTCTTGAAAGCTTATGAAAGAAGTCTGACAAACTTTTGTGCTATAAATTTCGCGTAATCTAAGTATGATTGATGCAATTTTCGTCGTATGGTTTTATGGGTCAAAGAGGCACGATGTATCTATGGAATAATAGTCCGATGGCTCTTTCCCGAAGTAATGTTTCGTTGTTACGAGCGGAGACACATGTTGGCGCAATAAAACAATGAAAACAACAACAGACATTATCATTAGCTCGGGGTTGCGATGTAGTGGTAGGTGGTTGGTATGTCCTGAAGGACTGGTCGTAATGTCACATCAAATGTGGACTGACGGCGCGTGTGATTGACGTGCAGGCTTGCCAACAGCCGCCCGGAGCGCTGAAAACCCCGGCCGACCGCATCGAGCAACTTTACGATGCTGTCCGCAATATATGTTCATAGCCTTCGGCAACAACTACATGACCGCACAACTTGCTGTTGTAGCCCACTAAAAATCTGACTTATTGCCTTTCAACGGGCCCAAGGGATTTTTTTTGTCGATGTAGTGACACTTTAGCCAATCAAATCAGAATTTTAAAAACATTTAGTGGTAAAGTGTTTGTAAATTATTCGCGTGAGGCGAAACAGATTAGGCCGTGATTAGAACGAGGTGAAAAACAAGATAAACACAGAGTGGTTGTTTATAACTGACTTGTTTTCATCATGGACAGAATATGGAGCGTGTGGGGTATATGTGGAAATAAATTATTCAACATGATTTATGTGATGTAATTAATTTCACAATGGTCAAAGATTTAACTAGACGATAAGACGACGTCGCGTTCTGCCCTTTGCGTGCCTATATTTCCAAGAGACCATATTTATGTCCACCTAAATACATTCACACTTACAAAGGCAAGCTCTTTTAATATGCGGTTCTGCTCATTATGTGTTAATAAAACGTCAAGCTACATGCTTTACACACTGTTTGATTTACCGTTTTGCCGAAAAATTTTGATAACTTTACGAGAGTTGTGCGAAACTTCAATCTCGGAAGCTTGCACGCACGTGGATCTCTTTAATGGAAAATAAAAAAATCAAGCAATATTTTTGTCTTTGATAAGGGAGTCGCAGGGACGTTTGAAATTTGCGAGCCGTGAAATAAGTCGATCAGAAGAAAGCTAAACAAACGAGAATTTCAACGAAAAGCAAACCATTTGGGAAAAGGAAATATCGCGGCCGTTTGACGAAAACATCGATGGATATATTCTTGATTTTTAGGTCGAAAGGATAAAATAGACGGCAACTAATTTAGCGATTTCATTCGTCGATGAACTAATGGAAAACGTACACGTACACTTTAAGCCGCTTTTACGAATTTCCTCAGTTTGTTTTATTAAGTGGAAAAACATTGCACGTAAAACGCATTTGCGTTTGTTTACTTTTTCTTACATACGAGGAAACGGTAAGGAAATTTTCCAAATATTCATATTTAAATAAAAATATTATTCTGGGAGAGTGAATGATAGAAAAATATCCACCCGTTTTGTAACTCTAGTCTTTTTTTTGGTGCTGATAAACACTGTTTTGTTTGTCTGTGAAAAAGCAACATTGCCAATTACTATAACCTGCATTTTTCAGTAATCTAATCACATCATTGAATAATTTTTATTGTAAACCTTAAAATAACGAAACTAGAACTAATTTATTGTTTGATTTTTACAAATTACAAAATCAGACTTAAATAACATTTTCGTAAAAATAATTTTAAGAAAAAATATCGTATTTCTACATATACAGTGAGGATTTTATTTCGATGAATATGCGTGTTTATGTTCAGTTTTTGAATATTTGTGTCAATACATTGATCACTTGTTACTAACATTGAATATGTTGTAATTGCTTGTAATGGTATTGATATGTTTTTTTGAAAATTAAACATGGGGTTAATAGTGTTGATGTTCAGCAAAATAAAATCATCACTGTATGTATTTAAATGCTCCAACACACATTTACTTAGCAAAAATAATATAATTATTTTTTTGTTACAGGTAAGAAAGGTCTTTCAATACAGCACCTAGTGACAATCGTAAGTAACACTTATGCAATATAATAAATGTTTTGTTTTAAAAACAAGCAAAAGTTACATTCGAGTTGTTGTTCTTTATTAGTATTATATTATTATTTCTTACATTTCAAGCGGACGTGGTGGACTTGACAATTAGTGAACTTTCCGATTTCCACTTGCCAAATGTACACTTGAACTAAGTATTACAACTAATCAGCACTCACTGCAAATGCACTCAAATTCTTTAACATGTCTTTTGCTAAAAGTGCCACTTGCACTTATTCTTTTAATGGGTTTTTCTAACTTTACAAAGAGCACACGCTTATAAAATTCTCTGAGTAGAAATAAATGCAGAATTTCTGTGATAATGCTGGCAACCAAATATGCACGTCGGTTTGTAATGAACAGGATGTTCTCATACCTTTCTGTAATTTTAGTAATTTTTAATCAAACAAATACTAAAAAATTCAAAGTCGAACCCTCAAATTAAAATGTATTTGTTAGAATTTGATTAAACTGGGAAACTAGTTTCGTCAAGACATCTTGCCATCTTCAGTCCAAAAATTAATATAAACAAACCAATTTACATGTTTGTTGATAAGTTTTAACATCGACTTTGAAATTTTTACCTCCGTCTTAAGAAAAAATAGCCCACTTCGAATTTGAAATTTCATAACTAAACAAATGGTGTTAAAAATTATATCATCTGTTTTTAAATTAGGTATTAATTTTTTAATGTTGAACCAAACTCCGTCTTCTGTCACTATAATAAAACTTTTTGCTTAATTGCAACGGAAGAATGGTCTTCTTATTTAAAGTGACTGTAATTCTTTAGTAAAGCTGCAAAGACCGACTTTACTTTGCATAATTCCGAAACGTAAACCTATGGAATTGTCGTTAAAAATTGCTTTTGTTTAGTAGATATACCAAAACGTACCAATACAAATTCTGGGCCCGTCTTTGAACGGAAGCCACGTAAACGGTGTTCTTGCTTACTTATTTTCTTCATTAAAATGTTCAAGATCGAAAACATCAGGATTTAGGTAAAATTCTAAATCACGGTCTAACGCCAAAGTTGTGATAGCAACATCAACTCTTTTTGGAATACGAATTTTTGTAATTACATTGTCTCAATAAAATTGGTAGTGGAGAATATTTTCTTAAAATTTCTATAAACACAATACATAATAATAAGTTAAAGAAAAATTTAAATATATATTTACCATTTAAAACTTGATCAATGTACGTCATTTCCATAATTGCATATTATAAATTAGTTCGTTGTTGTGTTTTCCAAGTACATACCTACTACTGTACAAACATTTCTTAATTTTTTTTAATGTCTTAATTTGTACCGAGTTTATAAAAAGCAAAAGTCATGGTAGTTGATGGAGTTTCAAAAGACCGCAAGTTTATGGTTGTGAAAGTGGGTTCTTGTTTTTGATCATTCTGATGCATTATTGTCTCATCATCAGTCACTGTTCCTCTGTTTTTAAGTTGAAGAACTAAATGGATTAAATCTTTGCGATAAATGTGTTTTTCTCTGGACACTACCGTGTCTCGGACCGTTTTCATGAAAAAATCTTGTTAATTACTCTAAATTTGAGGGATTACATTGCAGGGTTAGGTAGAAAAAATTGGAGAAATTCTTTCTCTGGTTAATTCGATGACTCTTCTCCCCTATCTTGGAAATAAAGTATTAGGGTCTTTCCAAAATGTGAATTTCCATTTGAAAAATGCGGTGGTTGGCGAGCAATGTTGTAAATATTGTTATTATGCCGACTACAATGCTTAAAGTAAAAAATTTTAAAAAAATGTTATAAGAAAAAAATTTGAGAGAAGTTACATGCTTTTTTCAAATGTATATTTCTTTCTTTAGTACTTATCTCACTTAAACTGTCTTCTGGTCTAAATTGTTAGTGACCTTAAACGCGTTAAGAGGTACTGATAGAACTTTAGCCTAGGTTTAGTCACTGACATACATTTTCATCAGATACGACTGATCGACGCAAAAGCCCAGCTACATTAGGTTGTTGAAGGTTATTATAATTCACACCCACCAATGACTGACTTCATTTACTGTGGAAAAGAAACCAGTTTTTGTAGTTTACTTACTTGTCCCAGATGTGTTAGCACTTATTGCAGTACTGCTTTAGGTAATTAATTTGTTATTGACTGCATTTAATGACAAAATTAAATTTGTATATCAGCAAGTTATAAATGTTATTATACTCGTATTTAACACACCAAGATTTTATATATTTTTAGTTTTTTTATTGTGTTTACAATTTTCTCGTTGAAAGATAAGATAAGAAACAATACTGCGAATGCACACTCATAATAATGTTGAGTCATGCTGAAGAGTGTACTTTCTCTCACTTTCGATTTCATGGCAATTTCTATGTGACTATGATAAAACTTATCTCAATCTCCGTTCAGCAACAGTAGTTATAAAAACCATGTTATTACAATTTCGATTGTTTATTTTTAATAAATAGGTAATACGTAACATAAATTATCAAATTATTTATGTTAAAATAAAAAGTTGCAAATTAATTTTAATGAATATTTTATTACAAAAGAACAATTTATTCTGTATTTCGGACGGTGTGTGTTACTGTCTTATACAATTTTCACCAAATTATTGAACAAAATATTCGTGTAATTTGCATCTTATAGGATTTTGAAATATTCTTGCCGAAATCACATTCACTTTTTTGAAACACAGAAGATTTGTACCAAAGCACGATACAAGTAATTGTTGATTGTAGATTTCATTTTCACTTCACTCATTTTTTCAATCATTTTTTAACTATTAATTGACACATACACCGTAAAATGAAAACGCACACAATAATCTCGTTTTGTATAAATAAAGATATTTTTGTTTTGACACTGTTGTAAAATTTTGAAACTTTCTCCAACTTCATGATGTGTAAATACAGTATACAATTGAAATATCTTTGAAACAGAAAACTTATTTTATATATAAAAACTGATTTTGAAAGTCATGCTGCAAAAAAGTTATTTTCGTTTTTTTTTTCTTTAATCATACATACTTTTTTTATGAAAACAGCAGCAAAACATTGTCCAGGAAATATTCGTTTATGTTAGAATTGCTGAACCGATGTTGTACCTTTTTGTTACCTTTAACCATTTAAACACGTAACTAACTTTAATCGACATTGTAAAAATAATCTTGTTTTGCAACAATATCTAAATTTTTCGTGTGTAAGATGTACCTACTTAGTGATACAATACGTGTTACTAAGCCCTTGGGTATTTTACTAATAAACAGAAATTATCTTTAAATTTTTTTATTATAATCACATATTAGGTGTACACATAGCATTTTATAAATGTAATGATTAATGTCAATCCTTTGCAGTTTAATAAGAAAAAAATTCAAGTGTTTATGTTATATGCAAAAACATTAATATTTTTCTAGTCCAACTTTTCTACATCCAACCAAATTCCACCTTTAGCCGTGGTAATAAAAGATTTTGGATCTAATTTGATGGGAAGTTCTGTTTTGTTACTGAGTTTGATTTTATAATTCTTCAAAAGTACGGTCAAACCGACTTTGCTTTGTAGCATTCCGAATCTCAAACCTAAAAGACATAGTTTTAGAAAACTTTAACCAGGACAGAAATAATCATACCAATACAAACTCTAGGTCCGTCACCAAAAGGAAGCCAAGTGAAATTGGGCCTAGCCTTGACATTTTCTTCACTGAAATGTTCAGGATCAAATTTTTCCGGGTTCGAATAGTAATCGGGATCGGTGTGTAGTGCCAAAACTGGAATACCGACCGCAGTACCTTGCTTTAGTGTAATAGAAGTATTGGGAATTGTATAATCCTTGTTGCATCTTCTCGTCAAAATTGGTAGCGGAGGATATTTGCGCAAAGTTTCTAAAAAAAGTCGGTTTTAATTTAGTAGAAAAAGATAATATTTTTTTACCGTGAATAACTTTTTCCATGTAGGTCATTTCCATCATTGCGTCATAAGTCAGTTTATTGTCGTGTTTGCTCAAAACATTATTTATGTCTTTTCTTAACTTTTCTTGTACGTCCTGATTGGTTGCCAATTCGTATAAGGCCCAAGTCATTGTCGTCGATGATGTTTCAAAGCCAGCCAAGAAGAAAACGAAAGCTTGTGCTGAGAGTTCGTTTAGAGTCAAAGCATTTTCTTTTACGTTTCCCTTATCATCTATTACATTTTCATCATCGGTGATGAAACCGCGATTTTTTAATTGAAGCAATAGATGCATGAAATCTCTACGATATATGTTATTTTTCTCTCGATAGTTGACGGTGTCTCGAATAGCATTCATGAAGAATTTTTCGACATCAGATTTAGTAAATTTAATTTTGAAGAATCGAAGTACTGGATGAGGTAGTGAAATTATGCAGATTGTTTTAATTCTGTCAATAAATCCAACTTCGAAGACTTTTCGGCCATATTTTCTAAACTCAGCGTTAGGGTCTTTAAGACTGTTACATTCAATACCAAAAGCAACTGATCCGATGATATCAGTAGTAAAACGACCAAGAATGTCTTTGATGTCAGCCGGAGCATGATTTAAGGCTGAATTGTCCATAATTTCTTTAAGACCTTGAGTACAATCCGCCAAAGTTTGGAACATCATCTTCATTTTTCCGGAAGTAAAAGTCGGCGTTAGTTTAATTCGCATGTTTCTCCACTTTGTATCTTCTAAGTTGAAAAGGTGTCCACTAAGAGGATCATCTTTTTCATTCATGTAATTTCCGTGGTTTACAAAATGTTGGAAATCTTTTTGCATAATATGTTTAACAAGTTCTGGATCTATTGGCATATAGAAGGGTTTCGGGCCAAAGAAAACTCCCCCATGTTTGTAGCCTTTTGATTTAAATTTGCCATAAAATTCCTTAAATTTCTCACCCAGGGTACATTTTGCAAGAATAAAGTCTTTGATATCGCCGAAAAATAAAACAGGATTTAAACTTGGTATACCTAGTCGATCCCAGTACGATAATTGCCATTTTAAGTAGGCAATTATGCCAACTAGAATTGTTGCCAGGACTGCAACTAGATCGAATGTAAGGTTATCTGTTATTAAAGCCATCTCTATGAAAATTGTTATTTTTAACCAGTTTATTTATAGGAGAAAACTTACAGTGTTGTGAAAACTCACATGTATCTGATAAAACAACTAACTAAACAATATCAACTAAAACGCTTTTATATAACTCAAATTGTGTGACGTTATGAAATTCCTGATAAATTGATAAGGCAACAAATTTTGCTGTCATCGTTTGGTTACTATTTGTGAGGCAAGTGAAACTCTATAGAAACTTGTATTGTAATTAACCTTCAATGTGAAGTTATTTTTAGAAATGTGTGAATGATTAAACAAATATACGATTACTCTAATATTATCATTAAATTTTTTCAAATGATAGCAACAATGTTTTAAATCGGTTTTTGAATAATATTTATTTACCTCTATCACCAATCATTATCAAGTACATAACAATACATTTTGCCAAAAACTTTTAATCTATTTTTTTCACATCTAACCAAATGCTATCTTTTGCTGAAGTGATAAACGATCGGGGATTCAATATTACCGGAAGTTTCGTTTTATTGCTCAATTTGATTTCATAATGTTTCAAAATTGCGGTCAATCCAACTTTACTTTGTAATAGTCCGAATCTTAAACCTGAAAAAAAAATTATTATTTTTTTAACAAATAGTTAAAAATAATTTTACCAATACAAATTCGTGGCCCTTCTCCAAAAGGAAGCCATGTGAATCCATGTCTAGCCTTAACATTATCTTCACTGAAACGATCAGGATCGAATTTTTCGGGATTTGGATAATATTCAGGATCATTGTGAAGTGCCAAAACGGGAATAGAGACTGAAACACCTCGATTTAGTTGAATAGAAGTGTTAGGAATAGTGTAATCTTTGGTGCACTTTCTTGTTAGAACTGGTATGGGAGGGTATTTTCGTAAAGTTTCTGGAAAGAGTTTAATTGTGATTTTGTTAAAGAAAATTAAGTTGTTACCGTGAATCACTTTTTCCATGTAAGGCATATCCATCATTGCTTCATATGTTAATTTGTTGTTGTGTTTGTTCAAAACATCGTTTATTTCGTGTCTTAATTTTTGTTGAATCTCTTGATTCATCGCCAATTCGTACAACGCCCAAGTCATTGCCGTCGATGATGTCTCAAATCCGGCTAAGAAGAAAACAAAAGCTTGTGCTGCGAGTTCGTTCAAAGTTAGAGCTTTTGTCTCATTATCTTTGTCACTAGTTATATTTTCATCATCTGTGACAGAACCGTGGTTTTTCAATTGTAACAACAAATGCATAAAATCTTTGCGATATATGTTGTTGGCTTCTCGGTAGTTGACTGTTTCACTAATGGCTTTTATAAAAAAAAATTCGACGTCAGATTTGTTAAATTTAAACCTGAAGAATCGGAGGACAGGGTGAGGAATGGCGAATGTTAAAAGAGTTTTGATTCTGTCAAAGAAACCAATTTCGAAGACTCTTCTACCGTATCTTCTAAATTCCGCGTCAGGGTTTTCGAGACTGTTACACTCTAGACCAAAAGCAACAGACGCGATGATATCTGTTGTGAAACGACCAAAAACATCTTTGATATCAACAGAGGTATGTTTTATAGCTGAATCGTTCATAACTTTTATTAAACCAATAGTACAATCGGATAAAGTTTGAAACATTATTTTCATTTTTCCAGAAGTAAAAGTCGGAGTTAGTTTCGCTCTCATGTTTTTCCATTTAATATCTTCCAAATTTAGAAGATGAGCACTTAAAGGATCATCTTCCTCGTTTATATAAAATCCATGATCCATGAAATGTTGAAAATCTTTTTGTAGAATATGTTTGATAATTTCTAGATCTATTGGTATGTAGAAAGGTTTTGGCCCAAAGAAAATTCCACCGTGTTTGTAACCTTTTGATTTAAAGTTGTTATAAAATTCTCTAAATTGTTCTCCAATAGTGCATTTTGAAAGAAAAAGATTTTTCGTATCTCCGAAAAATAAAACTGGTTTGAGGCTTGGAACTCCTAGACGATTCCAATACGATAAATGCCATTTAAAATAAGTACTTACAGCGATTAGTACTAGAGCAAACACCGCAACTATATCATACACAAGATTGTTTGTAAAAAAGGTCATATTGAAGCTGTTGAAATTATTCGTTTGTGATCAGTTATTGTTTATTTTTAGGGAAATACCTACTTACCCAATTGTCGACATGTATTAACGATAACTACTGAAGGTTAAAAGTCTTGTGATAATATTTTTAACATATTTTTATACTATTGTTTTAATTTATGTGAAAAATGATAAAACTTTGTTAGTTTTATGATATGAATAAATTAAGAAAACGCAATGTGATGGTAATTCTGAGTATTCCATAAATATGAAGTAATATTTGAACTTTAAGTCACTTATAAAATCATGTTGGTATAAGAACTTGTGCTTTAACTACTGCTAAGGATTTACGAAATTTGCACAAAAAGCAAACGTAATTGAATTAATTATAACAAAGTTGTTATTACAAAGTGGTGCAAATAAATAATGAATAAATGTGATTAAAAAAAGTATTCTGGTGCCATTTTGTCCTTGAGAGACAAATTAATAAATAAATGCCTCCTTGTTTTAAAGATTTAAGTGATTCTATCATCCATTTGTATCCTTAAAATCATGAAATACCTACCGAATGGAACCAATACGTTAAAATTCATACTTCTTCTTTTAGTGGTGTGCAGTTCTAATTTTTTAAATTACATTGTATTTGAAATGGTTTTTTTGGTGGTAAGTATAAAAGATTATGTGTTTTTTATTATAAATTGATTACTCTATCGACTTGAGCAATAAAAAATTAGTGTTGAGAGTTAATAAGTGTTAAAAAAACGAAAAAACACAGAAAATGTGACCCACAACTGCAGCAACCGAAAATTGAGTAGATATTTAGCGTTTTTGTGGTTACCAGTTTAAAGGGCATATTCACGCAGGTATCTTTTCCAAATTTTATAATATTTGGTCAAATAGTTTTGAAGTTATTACAAAAAAAAAAAAAACATATTTCTATAGCTAAATTTCGAAGGCTGTAAAATTCTTATCAGTAGGTTTGAGGTTTCAAATATTGTTTCATATTTATGGGAAACTCTTTTTAATAAATGTTCTTACGCATATAATTATGATATTGTTTTAGGTCAGTTTTGATTAATTTTATTTAATTAGTTTTCTTTACAAGTAAATATTTTCTAAATAACATTTTTCTTTGTCATTTTTTTTTCTTTTTCGTCTATTATTTACTTATTTTTAGATTTTTTCTTAATACTCCTCTCAAATAACCATAAATTTGTTAAAATATACAGTTATGGAGAACGATCAGAGATAGTTGATACAAGTACAAGGATTGTAATTAGAAATTATGTGTTGTAAACTGATAACATAAAATTTATAGTCATTTATTTGTAACCATTTTGAGTTCATAATTTATAGCTAAAGTAGACAAATTATAAATTTAATAAAAAACTATTTGTAATTTTTGATGAAATTGCACCAAATTATAATTTAATTCAGCTTCTCAATATTCAACCATACACCTCCATTTACTGATGTAATGAAAGAAGATTTCTCCATTTCTATTGGTAGTTTAGTCTTCGAGCTTAATGTTATTTTGTAATCTTTCAAAAGTGCAGTCAGTCCGACTTTGCTTTGTAACATACCAAATCGTAAGCCTGGAAGTTGTTTTATAAATCAGTCGGTCAAAGAATGTTTACTAAACTTACCAATACATATTCTCGGTCCTTCACCAAATGGCATCCACGTAAAAGGATGTCTCGAATTTTTATTTTCTTCATTGAATCGTTCAGGAATGAATTTTTCAGGATCAGGATAATACTCAGGATCGTTTTGTATGCCTACAATGGAGACACCAACATGGTCTCCTTTTCTGAGTTTGATGGATGTTTTAGGAATGGTGTAGTCCTTTGTACATCGACGGGTTAAAAATGGTACAGGAGGATACTTTCTCAGAGTTTCTGAAATTATTGAGATTAGAGAAGTGAAATACGATTGACAAAAATTTTACCGTGCAAAACTTTATCCATATAACTCATTTCCATGATTGCTTGGTAAGTTAATTCACCGTTAGATTTGGCTAAAATAGTGTTTATTTCTTCTCTGACTTTTTCTTGAACATTCTGATTGAGCGCTAATTCCAACAAAGCAAATGTCATAGTTGTGGAAGACGTTTCAAACCCAGCCGCAAAAAAGACGAACGACTGAGCGGCAAGTTCATTAATTGTCAGTGCTTTCTCTCCAGTTTTACCATTGTCTTCAATTATTTTATCATCATCTGTCACTGTTCCACGATTTTTCAGTTGTATTAACATATGCAAGAAGTCCTTCCTATATATGTTATTTTTTTCTCTGTAACTCACTGTATCTCGAATTACTTTCATAAAAAACGTCTCAACATCATCTGGTGTTACTTTGAATTTCAGAGCATGTAGAACACTTTCTGGTAGGATGAATTGCATGAAGAGTTTAAGTCTACGCCCTGGACTTACTTCAAATATCTTTTTTCCGTACTTTCTGAATGATGTATTTGGGTCTTTGAGACTGTTACACTCAAGACCGAAAGCGACCGATCCAATAATATCAGTTGTAAAACGGCCTAAAATTTCTTTAATATCAACAGGACTACCACTGGATGCACCTTCATCCATAATGTCTTTAAGACCATGTGTACAGTCAGCCAAAGTCTGAAACATCATCTTCATCTTTCCAGAGGTAAAAGTCGGGGTTAGTTTCACTCTCATATTTTTCCACTTTGCATCTTCTAAATTGAACAAATGTCCACTTAGTGGATCGGCCTCTTCGTCGAAATAATTGCCATGATTAACGAAATGTTGGAAATCTTTTTGCCAGATATGTTTAATAATTTCAGGGTCAGTAGGAAGGTAAAATGGTTTGTTTCCAAGGTAAACACCTCCATGTTTGTGACCCTTTGCTCTAAATTTTTTGTATAGATCTTGAAACTGCTCACCAAAAGTTGAACGTCCCAACATTACCTCTTTCGTGTCACCGAAAAATGGTATAGGTGACAAAGTTGGTAACCCTACACGGTCCCAGTAGGTTAGCCTCCATTTATAAAAAGCGATTGTCACCACTACAATTGTTGAAATAATTGTAACGATATCGAAAATAAGGGATTCTGTGATGATTGTCATTGTGGTTAAAAATATTTTTAAAACTTTGCACAATAATAGCACTCCACTAAGTCATTTACCTTGAATTTGCGAGTGATGACTGTTATTTGAAAATCATTACTATCTGTTTTTATACTCATATCTACTGATAAATATGTTAGAATAATGTTTTTGTTTATCATCCTAAGCAACTTGATTATACTTGATCAACAGTTTTTTTTTAAACTAAGACAACAGACAATACGTATTGTGGGTCCCTGCACGATTTGTTTATTTACTGTAATTGTGGTAATGAAATACAACCTTGACGGCTAACTTTAAATATGTAATTTAAATATGTGCTTATAAAAAAAATATTACATAACATAGAAATACATAGGAATCTCTTTCTAGCGAAATTTACTTTACTTTCTCAACATTTAGCCACATGCCCCCTTCTACTGATCTAACCAGTCCACCTTTTTCTAATTCTATAGGCAATTTAGTTTTCGAACTTAGTGATATTTTGTAGTTCTTCAAAAGCGCTGTTAATCCAACTTTGCTTTGTAACATTCCAAATCGCAAACCTTGAAATAATGTTATTTTAGTATTTTAGACTTTTGCAGTTAAAGGTAACTTACCAATACAAATTCTTGGTCCTTCACCGAATGGAAGCCATGTAAAAGGGGGTCTTGCATGTTTATTTTCTTCATTGAATCTTTCAGGAATGAATTTTTCAGGATTTGGGTAATATTCAGGATCGTTATGTATTCCTACAATAGAGAGACCAACGTCGTCCCCTTTGCTTAGTTTGACGGACGTTTCAGGAATGGTGTAGTCTTTTGTACACTTTCTGAACATAAATGGTATGGGTGGATGTTTTCTTAAAGATTCTGAAATTAAAAAAAAACAATAATCAAAAAGAAAATGAGTGAAAACAAATTTTACCGTGCAAAACCTTTTCCATATACGTCATTTCCATCATTCCTTCATACGTTATTTTATTGTCATGTTTAGCCAGAACTGTGTTTATTTCTTCACGAAGTTTTTCTTGAATTTCAGGATTCATTGCTAGTTCATAAAGAGTAAATGTCATAAGAGTAGAAGACGTTTCAAATCCAGCAATGAAAAATACAAAAACTTGTGCCGCGACTTCATTTACTGTCAAAGCTTTTTCACCAGTTTTTCCATTCTCTTGAATGATTTTTTCGTCATCAGTGATTTTACCTCGATTTTTTAACTGTAGCAACAAATGCATAAAGTCTTTCCTGTATATTTGGTTTTTTTCTCTGTAGTCAATTGTATCATTCACTACTTTCATGAAAAAATTTTCAACCTCCGATTTTGTTCCTTTGAATTTTATCGCACGCAACAAACTGTGAGGCAAAGCGAATTGCAACAAAACTTTTATTCTTTCCCATCCTTCTATTTTGAATACTTTTTTTCCGTATTTTCTGAAAATCGATTCTGGATCTTTGAGGCTGTTACACTCAAGACCGAATGCAACAGAGCCGATAATATCAGTTGTGAAACGACCCAAAATGTCTTTAATTTCAAGTGGAGTGCCGTTTGTTGCATATTCATTCATAATTGTCTTCAAACCATGTGTACAATCAGCGAGAGTTTGAAACATCATTTTCATTTTTCCTGAAGTGAAAGTAGGAGTAAGTTTAACTCTCATTTCTTTCCACTTTGCATCTTCTAAATTAAATAAGTGTCCACTAAGAGGATCATCCTGTTCGTTTATGTAATTGCCATGATTGACGAAATGTTGGAAATCAACTTGCCAAATATGTTTGACGATTTTTGGATCAGCTGGGAGGTAGAATGGTTTAATGCCGAGATATACACCAGCATGTTTCCATCCTTTGGCCCTTATTCTATTATACAAATCTTGAAATTGTTCACCAAAAGATTTTCGTCCAAGAATTAAATCTTTTGTGTCTCCGAATGGGAATACTGGTGACAAGGTTGGCAAACCGGTGTTGTTCCAATAAGATAATTTCCATTTACAGTAAGCAATTGACACAACCACAATAGTAGAAATTATTGTGACTAAATCAAAAACAAGGGAGTCTGAGAAGAGACCCATTGTACCAATTTATAATTATTCACAATTTTATTAACTTTAACATAGACACATTTACTTGATCGTTGTATGTTGACTAATGTGATATCAGACTAGCAGCATGTGTATTTATTGTAAAATTGTTCCGTTGCTTTTGGCAACGGAAGATAATCGCTGAGTTCAAGACAACTTTCGATATTTTTGCGAGTCATGATGAATAAGTACATAGATTCACCGCGACTCGAGATCATTACAAACATAATATCAGCTGAGAACAATGATAAGCTGTTTATTTGACAACAAAAACATAAATTAAACTGATTCATTCTAACGTTTGGACGTCCAACCAGACACCACCTTCAGGCGATGAAACGAAAGCTTTTTTATCCATTTCCAACGGTACTTTAGTTTTTTTATTCAGAGTAATTTTATAATTACGGAGAAGAGTTGTCAGACCTACTTTACTTTGAATCATTCCGAATCGCAGGCCTAGAAAAATATTTAGTATTTTTTTTTTATTTAATAAAGTTGCTAGTACCTATGCAAACTCTTGGACCTTCTCCAAAAGGTATCCATGTAAAATCAGGTCGCTTATTTTTATTTTCTTCGGAGAATCGTTCAGGATCAAACTTTTCAGGATCAGGATGATATTCGGGATCATAATGTAGAGCTTGAGCTGCAATACCAACCATATCGCCTTTTTTTAATCTAATTGTTGTGTTTGGTATAGTATAGTCTTTGGTACATTGTCGAATTAGTAGTGGCAAAGGTGGATATTTGCGCAAAGTTTCTAAAAATAGTCATAGTTTTGTTTAACACCTACAATAAATTCATTTTTTTATTTACCATGTATGACTTTTTCCATGTAACCTAGTTCCATAATTGCGTTATAGCTCAATTCGCCGTTATATTTTGCCAATGTTGTTATAATTTCTTCTCTTAGTTTTTCTTGTATCTGAGGATTACTTGCGATTTCATATAAAGCGAACGTCATAGTCGTTGATGACGTTTCAAATCCTGCTAAGAAAAACACAAACGCCTGTGCAGCGAGTTCATTCAGTGATAATGCTTTATCAGTTTTACTTTGATCGCTCGTTATGTTGCCATCGTCTGTCACAACTCCTCGATTTTTGAGCTGGATAAGTAAATGCATGAAGTCTTTTCTGTAGATGTTATTTTTTTCGCGGTAATTCACAGTGTCGCGTATTGCTTTCATGAAGAATTCTTCCACTTCCGGTTTGGTTGTTTTCATTTTCATTGCCTGTAAAATATTTCGGGGGAAGATCAGTTGAAGAAGGATTTTTATCCGGTCGATGACATCAATTTCAAATATCCGTTTTCCGAATTTTCGGAATTCAGCTTCTGGATGTTTGAGACTGTTACATTCGAGTCCAAATGCAACAGAACCGATTACGTCGGTGGTGAATCGAGCTAAAATATCTTTGATATCTATTGAGGTATGATTTTTTGCTGCTTTATCCACAATGGGTTTAAGTCCAGAGGCACAATCGGCTAATGTTTGAAACATCATTTTGATTTTTCCGGAAGTAAAAGTTGGTGTTAGATTAACTCTCATATTTTTCCATTTTGCGTCTTCTAAATTGAATAAATGACCACTTAGAGGATCATTTTCCGAATCAAAGTAATTTCCATGGTTCATGAAGTGGTGAAAATCTTTTTGCATGATGTGTTTTATAATTTCTGGGTCAACAGGGACGTAAAATTGTTGGAGACAGAAATACACACCGCCGTGTTTAAATCCATTTGTTTTAATTTTATTATAGAATTCTAGAAATTGCTCACCGAAGGTTTGATGACCGAGCATTACTCCTTTTGTATCGCCAAAAGGAAAAGTAGGTGCAAGAGTTGGTAAACCAACTTTAACCCAGTATGTAAATTTCCATTTGTAGTAAATAAGAACACCAATTAAAATCGTTACAAAAAGAACAGTGAAGTCGTAGACGAAATTATAAAGTAGTGTATTCATGTTTAAGGACAAATGTGTACTAAACAATTTGATTTTACAAAAACCGTTCGAAAATAAATTGCTTAAGATGTATTTAGATCTGAAGTTTCGCAATTTTTAATGTGGTAAGTCGTCAGGGTTACAGGGAAAATAAATACGATCAGTTCAGACGAACTTAATTATCAAAATGTCGAAATGAGTAAGTACTTACTCATTTCAACAGTGCATGTGTACTTAAATGGAAAATTTTCACAATTAAAGTGCACAAAAGTAATAAATTTTATTTATCATATTTATTTTTATATTTTGTATGCATTATCTAATTTAATTTGTCAACGTCCAGCCAAACTCCACCTTCAGCGGATGAAATGAACGATTTTTTATCCATTATCAGCGGTACTTTAGTTTTGCTGTTCAACTTAATTTTGTAGTTCTTCAAAATTGTTGTTAGACCGACCTTCGTTTGCAATAATCCGAATCGCATTCCTAAAAATTACATTTATTTGTATGATTTTTTTCATTTGAAGTCGCTAACCTATGCAAAGCCGTGGTCCTTCTCCAAAAGGTATCCAGGTAAAGTCAGGTCTTTTGCTTTTGTTCTCTTCCGAAAACCGTTCAGGATCAAATTTTTCAGGGTCAGGATAATAATCTGGATCTTTGTGTAAACCTAAAGCTGAAATACCAACCATGTCACCTTTTTTTAATTGAATGCTAGTATTTGGGATTGTATAATCTTTATTGCACTTGCGTGTCAAAACAGGCAAAGGAGGATATTTCCGCAATGTTTCTGAAAATTTTCAATTAAGATAAGTTGATGAGAAAAGTGTATCTTACCGTAAATATTTTTTTCCATATAAGTCATTTCCATCATGGCGTCGTATGTTAGTTCATCGTTGTGTTTTTTCAAAACTGTATTTACTTCTTCGCGCAGTTTTTCCTGGATGTGTGGATTGTTTGCTATTTCGTATAATGCGAATGTCATTGTTGTGGACGATGTTTCAAATCCGGCAAGGAAAAAAACAAAGGCTTGTGCCGCTAGTTCGTTCATTGTCAAACCTTTTTCGTCTGTTTTCTGTTGATCATTTGTTAGACTACTATCGTCTGACACTGTTCCTCGATTTTTGAGCTGAATAAGCAGATGTAGAAAGTCTTTTCTGTAAATATTATTTTTTTCTCGATAGTCGACAGTGTCACGAATTACTTTCATGAAAAAATCTTCTACTTCTTGTTTAGTTACTCTAAGTTTGAATTTTCGTAATAACTTTTCAGGAAATAACAACATCATTAAAAATTTTATTCTCTCTATGACTTCCACTTCAAAAATGCGTTTGCCGTATTTTCTGAAAAGATCATCCGGATTTTTCAGACTATTACAGTTAAGACCAAATGCAACAGAACCAATAATATCAGTAGTGAATCGAGCTAAGATATCTTTAATTTCAATAGGTGTATGATTTTTTGCTGTTTCATCTATTATGTCTTTTAGACTGGTAGTACAATCAACCAAAGTTTGAAACATCATTTTCATTTTTCCCGAAGTAAAAGTAGGTGTTAATTTGACTCTCATATTTTTCCATTTTGCATCTTCCAAATTAAACAAATGTCCATTAAGAGGATCACTATCCTCGTCAACGTAATTTCCATGATTCATGAAGTGATGAAAATCACTCTGCATTATACATTTAATAATACCTGGGTCAACCGGAATGTAGAATTGTTGTAGACATAAGTAAACTCCTCCATGTTTGAATCCGTTTGCTTTGAACTTGTTGTAAAAAATTTGAAACTGCTCACCGAAAGTTAACCTTCCTAACATTACTTCTTTGGTATTACCCAAAAGGAATGTTGGTTGAAAAATTGGTAATCCGACATTCACCCAATATTTATATTTCCAATTGAAAAAGAGAATTACACCGATTGTCAGAGTCGTAAAAATTGCAACAACATCGTACATTACACTTGTAGAAAGTAAAGTCATAGCGTAAACAGTAATTCAACAGTGTTAACTATAAATTTATTCAACTGACTGAAAAATATACTTTACCTTTTTATTTATGGAAGGTAAAATGTTTATCTTACTTTATCGATTATACCTATGTAGATGACTTGATAAGTGATAAATCGGACAGGATTCATAAACCAGAACACTGCAAACTGCCATTTTTAACGAACATACAGCATAATTAATTTTAATTATGTCCTTAGCGTTACAAAATTCGGGTTCAAGGCTATGTTGAAACATTATGCTCATCCGTTTATATTTAATCATAGAGGACCCGGAATACAGATGAAACGATGAAGTTTGTGGTTAAAAGTTTGTTGTAGTTTTAATTTAAAAACAAGAGTAAATCATGCAGTACTTTATCGTATGTAATGTTTATAATACACCAACAATAAATTGTCACATCTAACATCAGTATTAATTTAATACAATCTTACGATATCTGGTTAAAATTTAATTCAAAGGTGTAAAATCTAACCAAATTCCTTCTTTGGTAGTGGTGATGAAAGTTTTGCAGTCCATTTCCAGGGGAGTTTGCGTTTTTTGATTTAACGTCACTTTGTAATTTCCTAATAAAGTGGTTAATCCCACTTTGGCTTGCAGCATTCCAAAACGTAAACCTGAGAAAAAAAATTAGAAAAATTATCATTCGCCAGTTAAATAGTCGTACTAATACAAATTCTTGGACCTTCACCAAATGGCAGCCATGTGAATGGTGGCCGACTGTTTTTAATTTCTTCCGAAAAGCGATCCGGGTCATATTTTAATGGATCGGGGTAATATTCAGGATCATAGTGAACACCCAAAATGGGAAGTACCACCATGGTACCTTCATCCAGATGGAGGTTTATGCCGGCGACGTCATAAGCTTTGGTACATTTTCTGTTCAAGAATGGTACTGGTGGATATTTTCTCAAAGTTTCTGTAAATTAATTTTAGAGGACTATTTATTTTTATAAAATGTTATTACCATTGAGAACTTGTTCCATGTATGTCATTTCCATAAGAGCCTCGTAAGATATTTTATTATTATGTTTATCTAATACTATTTTGATTTCCTTACGCAACTTGTCTTGAATTTTTTCATTGAGACAGTTCGTACAAGGTGAAGGTCATTGCTGTTGAAGAACCGGCGGCGAAGAAGACAAAAACTTGTGCTGCCAATTCATTAATTGTCAATGCAACTTCTTTGCTTTTGTTGTTATTGTCAAGGAAAGTTTCGTCATCTGTTACTTTCCCTATTTTTCAGTTGTAGCAGCAAGTGGAGGAAGTCTTTACGATAAACATTATTTTTTTCTCTAAATTCTACAGTTTTCTTCACCAAATTCAACATGTAGTTTTCCACATCCGGTTTGGTGGCTTTAAATTTTACTAAATTTAGGAGATACATAGGCATCATGAACTGAATTAAATTTTTCAAATTTTCCCAAGTTGTATTTTGGAAAGTACGTTTTCCGTAGTACCTAAATTCAGGGTCTGGATTTTTAAGACAAATACTTTCGAGGCCAAAAGCATAAGAGCTAATGACGTCTGTAGTAAAACGTGCTAGGGTTTCTTTGACGTCTAAAGTTTCTTTCCGTTTTGCAGCTTCTTTCACGTAATTATCAAGTTTTTTTGCACAATTTGACATAGTTTCAAACATCATCTTCATTTTACCTGATGTGAATGTTGCTGTCAATTTTGCTCGAAGATTTTTCCATTTATTGCCTTCCAAAGAAAACAGATGTCCACTCAGAGGATCAATTTCTTCATTTACGTAGAAACCACGATCAATGAAATGTTGAAAGTCCTTTTGCATGATGTTTTTTATAATCGTAGGATCCACGGGGATGCTGCCCAAAGTTATATTTTGTTTTGAATAAATCAGCACAATTACCGAAGGGAATTGAAGGTTCTAAATACTCAAGATCGCGTTTTTTCCAATACGTAAAAGCCCATTTATAATAAACCACTAATCCGGCAAGCACAGTCACAAAAATGGCCACCAGGTCGTATGTTAAACTGCCATTTACTAGAAGCATTTTTAATGGCAAAATTTATGCAAGATTTTAACTGATTTTGTTTGTTTATGCGGTTAAGTTCACATCGACTCTGATGGTAATATGAATTTTGCGATTACAAATAAAGTTAAATTGTGATTTGTCATGATGAAAATTGTAATCATATCACAGCAAACTTTGCTGAAATGAATAGTCACTTAATGTACTTGAGACTGACTATGTACAGATTAGTGTAATTGTCTATGATACAATCACTGTTTATCTGCCGAGTTGGCAAGGTCAATTTTTACACGTGAAAAATTATTTTGGCAAAGGTACAATTAAATGTTCAAAAAGTGATCTTTTTGTTAATATTTTTATTGTTCTGTATTCTTTATTAAGACTTTGGAATATATGTAAATCTTTGAAATAAGTAAATAAGTTTTGAAACCGGAATGGTATGTAGAAAAATCTACAGATTTATGGCTTATAGTTTTATTAAAAGAAAAAATACAAAGGTCTAGCATGCACTTGAACTATTCAAAATAATATTAATATTAATAATAATAATATAAGATATTTATATCGAATTAATAGACAACAATTTAACGTTACGTTAACGTTGGTATAGTTTAAGTATTTAATTTAGTTTCTCAAGATTCAGCCAAACGCCTCCTTCTGCTCTCGTCGTGAAAGATCCCTTGTCTATCTTTAGCGGCATTTTGGTTTTTTCATTTAATTTGACACGATAATTTCTTATAAACGTAGTTAACGCAACTTTACTTTGCAACATACCAAATCTCATTCCTACAAAAAATATGAATATCTGAAAGTCAAAATCAAAAATCGTACCAATGCAAATTCGAGGTCCATCTCCAAAAGGAAGCCATGTAAAACCAGGTCTTTCTTTTTTCTTTTCTTCGGAGAATCGATTCGGATCAAAAACTTCGGGATCCGGGAAATAATCTGGATCTGTTTGCAAACCTAAAACTGGAATCATCACACCTACGCCTTTTTTTATTTCTATATCTGTGTCCGGTACTATATAATCTTTTGTGCACAATCGCATTATTATTGGAAGCGGTGGATATTTTCGGAGAGTTTCTAAAAATATAGATAATTAATTTTTAGCCATAATAATTCAGTCTTACCTTGTATGACTTTCTCCATGTATGTCATTTCCATTATAGCCGCATAAGTTAGTTTGTTGTCGTATGTGGCCAAAACTGTGTTAATTTCGTCTCTTAACTTGTCTTGAATACGAGGATTCAATGCTAATTCGTACAAAGCAAATGTAATTGTACTTGAGGATGTTTCATAACCAGCCATAAAAAATACAAAAGCTTGTGCCGCTACTTGATTCATGGTCAAACCAAATTCTTTACTTCCACTGACTCCATCCAATATCTGACCGTCATCAGTTACAGTTCCCAGATTTTTTAACTGGATAAGTAAGTGCATAAAGTCTTTTCGATAAATGTTGTTTTTTTCTCTATACTCAACCACTTCGCGAATACTTTTCATAAAAAATTGTTCGACTTCTGTTTTTGTAAATTTATGACCTATGGCTTTTAAAAAACAGTGGGGTAATATCACTTGCATGAAAATTTTTATTCTAACCCAAATATCAAAATCGACTGCTTTCTTCCCATACATTCTGAAAGAAGTATTTGGGTCTTTCAGACTGTCACATTCGAGTCCGAAAGCTACAGAACTAATAACGTCAACTCCAAATCGACTTAACACATCTCTGGCATCCACAGGCGTTTTAGTAATCACACATTCATCCAGTACATTTTTTAAATTGTAGCTAACTTCTGCTAAAGTTTGAAACATCATCTTCATTTTTCCGGAAGTGAAAGTCGGGGTTAGTTTAACCCTCAAGTTTCTCCATTTTATATCGTCTAAGTTAAATAAATGTCCACTAAGAGGGTCACTCTCTTCGTCAACATAACCACCATGACTGGAAAAATGTGGAAAATCTACCAGCATGATATGTTTGACAATTTCGGGATCAACGGGTATGTAAAGAGGTGAGGCTCCGAAATAAACACCACCATGACGACAACCTTTGGCTTTAAGTATTTGGTAAAAGTCAACAAATTGCTCGCCAAATGATTTGCGTCCAAAAATTACTTCAGTAAGGTTACCAAATGGCAGTTTTGGAGGGATGGTAGGCAAACCTATCTTGTCCCAATAGCGCAGTTTCCATTTTAGGTAAGTTATTATTCCAAGAAGAAGAGTTACGATTAATGCTAGGAATGTATAATTCATGGTGTTTGGCGCAAATCTGTAAAAAGAAAAAAATTTTTAGATTGCTGCAAGAGCTTGGTGAAATTTGTAGCTACATAGATGCAAAATATTTGTAGACTTATTGTGTCTTCAGCAAAAAAATTGAACTTGTTTTATAACCAATAATTTGATAACTAGTTTGATGATTGTTAATTTGTTATAACGATACTTCTTTTTGCTTAACATTTTCGTTTCAGTATTAAAATAAATTAAGTTTGAGAGTTCGAAAAGCAAAATGTAAGTCATAAAGAGTCAAAATTGTGTATATTACTGTGTCATTATCGTTGTTAACAATGTAGATTTTCTTTTTTGTATAGGCCACTAATCGGAATCCACATGCGACCGGCAAAGTTCCTCCCTTGGAGGGTCCTTGAGCGCTCCAAGTAATATTAAGAAACCATAAAGAGATTAAGGGATTTTCTTCCAGAAAATAACTTTTATATACACAAAGTACTCAACGAACTTTTCCTCAGTTTATCGGAAGTAATGAACTCTTTGTTTTGTTTATGAATTTGTATTGTAGGGAATTTTAAGTGAGTAGAGACGTGCAGGTAGTTTCAGGTTAAGTGAGTAAACTACATCAACTTTTTTGTGTCGATTGCTGTACAAGGAAAAGTCATTAGTTGAATGCGCTTGGTATAAGTCTGCAGTTATCAGCGACGAAGGTTATAGTGTTTAGATCCGGGCGCTGTGCCTAAATTAAATAGAATTAATACAATCTGATAGGAAACGTGGCCAATGAAATCTGCTCCAAACACGCGAAACCGTAATCTTATAACTTACGCAGTCTACGTGACATTTCAGGCTGAAAATGTGTCTTCTTTCAGCTTCAGCAAACTGTTTTCGTTCGCTTTTCACCCGACCGAGGGATAATTCTGTTTATTTTCGAAATACGCAGCACACTGTCCGTCCTGATTTCCTATTGTGTCAGTTTTAAAGTCGCTTCTGCTTTTCGACGACGTGCTACGCTAAAATCTCCAACAATGGACCATCGGACGCGCCGAGTATTCGACGTTATTGATGGGCCGTTTGGCGCGAGGAAATTTTCCAGATGTTCTTAATATATCATCGTATTTAATCTAGAAACGCATTAAAGCAAACAATGTATAGAACGTAAATGCAACGGACAAAAGAGAAATGGAAAAAAATAAGAAAGAAAAGTGCAGTTCGCGAAGGCCATTTGGTGGGCCCGGGCTCTAATTGAAAAGATCTCCCCATTACGTGAGATCAATTTAAGGGGAAAACAGCCTGGGTGGCTTCTCTTCATCATAATTAACTCCGCTCAAGATATAAGGCTACCAAACAATCTTGAGAAATTGCAAATCGGCCATAACACCTTTTTCTGTAATTTTTTTAATACGTTCTTTGGTTAATTACAATATTTTTTTAAATTTATTAAAGACTTGTTTTGGTATAATGTATTCTTCGTATAAGTCCTAACAACAAGCTCCATTTTTAGTGGGTCGACATTGTATAAAAAGAATGTTCTGTGAATGGTTCACACATGATAAGGGCAATCTTTTAAAAGCCTCAGATAGGAAGAAAAGTAGTATTTATTTATAGTGGCAAAATATAACGTAAAAATGAAAAATATACTTTGTACAGGCTTTAATTAATTTTTATGTTTTTTTAATATGTTTTTTAATCGAGGATGAACATTATTATTGCGTAAAAATCACTTTGTCCTTTCTGTTGATAGCCGGCATTTCGCAGCAGTAAAATCAATACCCCAAATACTTTTGCGTAGCTATTAATTGACTTTAAGCACTTCCTTTCGAACACAACCATGAAATATCACTCGAAGTTTAGAGAGTTTTGGCATAATTAGGTATCCTGTACGGTTTTAAGGGAATTCGTTAGCTGTCAGATTCTTTAGAAATAAATACACTGACGGAAACATGAGTTGATTTCCTCTATTTCCGCTTAAAGCATTCTCTGATGCGGTCAAACTTACCGCACTGTTAAAAGCTCTAATGGATGGCTTTGACGTGTACTGTTAAAGAGGCAACTTTTGACCTATTTTTCCTTCCGACTTTCACTGTTTCAACAAATGAACTACTCTCGGAGTTAATTTTGCGTATGTGAGCTTTACGTTGAAAAATTATCGAAGTGATTCGTGAATGAATCCCTAACATTTTTCGAGGGTTATCCTTAAACTACTTTTTTGGATTAAGAGTAAAGCCTTTCACAAAATGCTCAGCTACTTTCGAGATTGCAAACATAGTAAGAACCCTATTTGTATACGGGTTAGGAAGGCTCTTGAACCCACGAAACAATAGAACGCGGGAAAAAACTTCAGCAAATAACTTTTCCGTAATTTTTTTTTCTGCAAATGAAGGGAACATAAGCAAATTGAATTAAAAAAAAATATGTTCATTTTAAAAATGAATTATCTTCGAATTGATCTTCTCGGGGATCGGCAAATTAAATTTTAATATCGCCCCTCTTCAAATAAACGCCGAGCTTTGACTTTGGGAAACAAGAGTGGGACACAAAGAAGAACTTTAAATTATCATCATACAACAGATAGTAAAAAAGCTCGCTCTTGGAGATTATTAAACCTGATACAGAAATAATTAACACCTCCTTTTCCACGTGTTTCGGTGAACCGTACATGACGTAATCATTCGTGAAAAATGACACGAAATAAGAGAGGCCGTCGAGGAAAAGAAGTTTTCAAAGGATGACATAAATCACGTGGTGTAGTGATTGGCTGCCACACGTAGAGTTGCGTGGCGCGGAAACATTTACAAATAAAACAGGGACGGATTGGCCAATAAACCACCGCTTTTTCGAAGAAAAATCGGGGCCTTTTTACATCCGAAAGTGCCCGATTTTAATTCGACAAATTGTTCTGTCACCTGTCCATCAATACATCGAAATTGTGTGTGCATATGATGTTATAGATTAGATTTGAGGAACGCGCATGCCATTTTCACGGGTTTCAGCAGCAGTGCTTTCAAATTTCAGCAGTAAGCTCCGAGCTTTCGCTGTTTACGAACGCTTGCACTTTTTCCTTTCACTTCAGCTTTCGGCGTGTGTTTTCCTCGAGAAAAAAGTGGTTTAATGTGATTTTTAGTGTGCGTTGTTTAATCATGAAAGCTTTTTTGTTCTTGTGGTTTTGTTTGTATGAGAGATGGTAATTGGTAAAAAATTGCGACGAAATCATTTTTGTACCTCATCTATCAAAGTTTCATTTTTTTTAAATTTGGCTCTTCGTTTCAGGTTAATTATCTCTTTGTGATTACATAGATGGTCCTAGATTAATTAATAAACCGTCTAGAGCTTGTGTTTGAGGACTTGTTTATGTGCCTCTACTGTTTCTTGATTTAATTTGCATAATATATTCCGGTATGATGTACGATGATAATCTTTAATGACTACGAAGTTAAATATTTGATTTTTTTAATGGATGAGGTATAAAAAAATTATGCCTTCAAATAATTTTTTATGTGCGTCAGCAGAGGATTAGAGTGTTGTTTCAAACTTGAATAATTATTTTAATTTAATTAAAACTTTACTAAGTACTTGAATTTTCTTGAGTTACTGCTGTTTTAGATACTCTGCATATTTAGTTTTATTGACAGCAATTTCATTTACAGTAACAAAACATGAGTGAATGAGAACATGCTTTTAAAATTAAATTAAAATCAATTTACCTCTGGCTGTTAACTTTTTCATAAAAGTGAATAAATTGATGTGTAAATATGGGAGCTCTATAATGGACCTCGTTATTTTTTTAACGCAATATTCAATAGGTTTATTTAATTATTCGTGGAGTACCTGTTGAATAAAACAAATCGCAATGCCAGCAAATTATTAATTGACTTTTACACAAAATAAATTTTTAATGTTGGTCTACAGTGTTCGTTCGGACGCTTGAAATTCGATTCAGGGTAAAGGAGGATTTGTTTTTTTTACATAGAAATAGTTTCCTTCTATACTAGAGAATGGAAGAATCGACAGGATAATAAAATGTTTTATGGGTTTGAGAAGTCTATAAAATTTAAACTTGTTCTCATCAATGATATTACTTGGATCAAATACAGTAACCATCTAGAATGTGTCTGTACTAAAGCAGAATCCTTGATATCGAACAATAAATTGGAAATTTCCTGGACTAACTTTATAGCATTGATTTTTCAGAACAGAACTTACAAAACCTTCTTAATCCAAACAAGACAAGGGGAAATGGTAAAATTTATATTATTTGCCTGGAAAAAAAGGCACACAAAATCTAAATGGAAACGTTACGAGGCTTTTGTCAGACTTCACCAAAGCATTTCAAAGGCATTTGTAAGCTTTGTAGGGAGTCTCTGGACATCAGCAGCCAGAAATTAGAGGCACGTTTTAACCACGCGACACAAAACTTCGTCTTGGCTTTACTTCTGATTTCAGCTTTGTCAAGAGTCCTGATATTAGAACGCCCTTTATGCTCATCTGATATGTCTATAAAACTTATCTCTTTGAAATGGGCGAGTTCTAGCAAGTTTTGCTTGAAATGCTCGAAACTTGCGAGAGAAACTTCACGAGAGACTTTTCATGTTTTTAATTTGACTGTCTAGTTTTTTTATCAGGCAATTATGACTGATGAGATACAGTGTATATCATTCCGGACCGCAAAAATTTCTCTATGTTCCTAGAGAGGTAATTAAAGTCTGCTTGTTTCACGACTGAAGTCAACAAAATTCGCTTGAAAAATTCCCATAATTGGTATACATTTTTAGAAAAATTTTCAGGAGTTTTCAGCGTTTTTTTCTCACGGTACGGTAGCTAATATGCCCGTGTTCGAGACCCGAAGGCATCATTAAAATGTAAAAAGAATAATTGTTTATATAAAAAATTTTAATAAGTGTTTTTTCGAAAAGGAAAACTTCTCAGTTTGAATGTTTGCAAATGGCTCTGGTTTATTGTCTTTGAACAAGTCTTTAATTAAATGCAAGAACCCTGCCCGGATTCCGCAAATAAATCACAACTCTTTCTTTCAGTTTTTCAGGATCATGAATATTGAATTTAAAAGTTTTCGTGTGAAAAGTTCCACAAGCAAGTTTCTCGTTCTTCTGTTCTTGCCAATTTTAAAGAAATCTGACGGAAACGACACGCAGTAAATTGCTTTTATTAATGATGTTTACTTAACTCACTTGCGGACGGGGAATCTCAAAGACGTTTTATCCCTTCTTTTTTCGTCGGGGTTCTTTAGTGGTCTTTTGTGTAGTTGGAGGAGTTTTCCAAATTAAACAAATCTTTAGTAGATAATAACTCTCAAATGATGTTTTTACATTTTATTTTCTAAAATCACTTTTACATCTCGATAAATTCGTCAAATAACATCTTAAGCAATTTACTATTTGGTCAAAGTGGCTACGAAACGAGGTAGAATCAAATCCAGAGCAGCGAAAGTGTTGCATTATTCTTTAAATAAGTAGTCTCGGAGCGAGCGTATTCACTCCAGTTCGGGTAAATATTGATTAGTCCGACCCACTTTCTGTCATCGCCTGTTACATACCGAACCTAATGGGGATATTTCTACCCCTTTTACATCGCCGCAATAGAACATACATGGGCCCTTGGTTCTAATATACGGACCCTTCGTGTCGACTGATACACACCGACATGGTCCTGCATTAATGAAAGTGTTCATAAATTAGCGAAATGCCGTTTTCCCACTCAATCCACAAACGAAAACACAATTATAGAAACCAATTTCGTTAGCCAATCATTCACGTTTTTCGAAACACTCCCATCGGATTTAAATGGGGGTTCAAAATACACGAGACTGGCCAGTTGCGAATTGCCAACCCAAATTGTGCAATGTATTACCATTTATCTTCCTTTTTAATTAAACATTTTAAACGACCATATGCTGAGTTTGAAATTTGTTTGTCATGGTATAGGTATGAGCAGCATGTCCCATTATGGTAGACATTTATGACTTTATGACCATACCAAATCAACAACTCGAGATGAATTCATGTGGATTTCATGTACATAAGCATATCGCATTGTTGGGTTTTTAGATACATATTTTGTAGCCCAGAAAAACATGAACAACACTCTTTTTCTTTGTTAATTGCATGGTGCGGTAGTTTAAATAAAATAAGAAATGTGGAACAAAATGTTTAATAAAAACTACATACCTTGGCGCAAGAAGAGCTTTTATTCCAATTTTTCCTCTCAAAGTGCCGTTCAACGTGAAAACTAAATGTCAAATACCTACCTATGTTTTATTATTCAAGGATTTCAGAAACTAATGAAAATATTTAAAACTAAACAGTTGCTTTTTTCCAACACTAATACTCGTAATTATACTGTTTCTTTGGTGCATTTGAGCTTACCTCTTATGTTGACGTTAATATACGCTCTACATAAAATACACTTATATTGGCATTTTGACATTATTTTCACAATTTTTTTATAACAATTTCTGAATTTACTAAAATTTCTGATCCAATATTAGTGTTGGAAAAATTTTTGAAGCCAACACGAGTTTTATAGTTTAAGAATCTCGGTCTACTAGACTTCAGCCGCGATTTTTAAACTGTCTATAAAACTCTTGTTGCCTTAAAATAACTGTTATTATTATTATTATTATTATTAGTTATTTGTATTACAAGGGAAGAAAGTCTGTTTTTTCCTCTCGCAGGTGGAGGTTACTTCCCGTGACTTGTTGAAAAAAGACACTTTTCTCCAGTGTAATACATATAATTTTTCCTACAATCCAACCAGAAAAAGCAAAAATAGTAATAATTTTTCTTGATATCTCAATTTTGCAATTAAATTTAGCAGCATGAGAGGTCACATATATTTTTAATGTAATTTTGACAGATGAGGGATAGGGGGAATTATACCTCCTAGAAAGGTAAAAGTTTCACCTCCCTGAGAGGTAATTGTCCACTTACCTTTTTGAAATTAGGGTGGAAAAGCTTAATTTCTGTTACGAAATAACTATTTACACTCAGACAGATAATTTTTAAAATAGATATATTGATTAACAATATCACACTTTGAAAATTAAACTTTATCTGGTCTTTTTTGCAGCAGGCCATAGAAATATTTTTTAAGGAATAATTTGGCGACTACCTACTTAGTTTGTCTATCTTGTGGTGAACTTCTTGTATACGAAATTTTAGACTGATAAATTGTGTTGTACTCAATCATTTTTGTTGACATATTTTCTTTGACCATCTGAATCGTGGAGTAAGCCAATAAATGGAATAATATACACGTTATAAATCATTTTTTCTGAGCGGAAAAGTAATGAAATTGTTAAAGTCAACTGCTTTCAAGATGTTTTTGATCGTTTGTGAAAGTAATGATAGAATTTGGATTATTTTCCATTTATATGCTTTGTGTTATTTATCTTCCCCAGTTTATTGTTCGAATTGAAACTTCCCATTCGGGTGTCAATTTTCTTAATCTGTCGATTATAGTCGAGCTCCTTGAATTGATTTCGGAGTAACAGTGCGTTCTAACGCACTTTCTCAGCTTGTTATCTCAATCTAACCGCATGTTTAATGTGAATCCGATCAGATAATTAGCACGAAGGAGGAGGAGTCGTCTGATGAGCTTTAAGATGAAACAGTGAAGACACGAAAACGTGAATCGAATCTCGAATAAAGGCTTAATAGTGGCGACTGCGGCTGTAGCATCGTCAACAGGGCTCTGCCTCATGGTCCAGCCGAGCAACAACAACAACGGGAGCTCCGACATGGACTCGCTCGAGGACATGCTACGGAAGGTAAATAAAAAAAAAGAAAATCCCCAACGATAAAAATATAGGACGTCGTTTTTTATCCCGAGTTTTTTAAATGTTACTGTACGAGTTTACAACTTTACAACTATTCATTTTAAGCTTGAATAATTGGACTCCCTAAGGCGACGCAATGATAACTTTTAAAAAATCGCTCATTCTCTTTTAAGCTTTTCCTACTTTCGTCTCGTGAGCTTTTCAGTGACGACGTTTAATTCCGTTTTGACTTGGCCCTTGAGGATTAACTAACTAACCGACATTCGCATTTATTATGAGGTGGAAATAAGGCCGAATTGGTGGAGGTTTGTTTGGCAAGGGTTAAGGCCAAATTTGCTTAATGGAATGGAATTGGTCGCTTTGTTTGTAAACACGCTACAAGCGAATCATATTTTATCCGATATTTTTTGACCAAAGAATATTTTATTAACACCTTATTTTACTAAACAGTTACAGGCAATATCTATGTTTTGTGTTTATGTGATCTGTTTTATGTTTATTTGAAAATCTACTTTTTTTGGTTGTAAATGACTATTATGATAATTTTAAACACTCCGGAAATTGATAAATGGAAGTCGCTACGATATAAACACCGACACAGGAATATTATTATAATTAACACAGTTTCGTGTTCATTACAATTTTCATTTGATATTCAGATATTAAAATTTATTCCGATAATAGTTGTTGACAACATTACTCCAGTATGTCAATATTTTAGTATTTGCCACCTAGGTTACGCATCAAATGTTTGAACCCAAACACCAAAATTATGACCGAAATTTTGTTAACGACGGGAAATAATATGTTTCCCGTGCGACTTAAATTAGTGACGCTGTAACATAGTTAGGCTATAAGCGTATTTAAATTGGGAATTGAAACATAAATATTTATAGAATGCTTCGAGTAAAAGATGTGTGTTTGGGAGTGAAAATTTTAAATTCACAGTTCCTTTGATTTTCCATTATTTGCTCACCTTATTTAAACTCCCCTTCGAAATCACTTAACAATAATCACTTTGAAAACAAATGTATCTTTATCCCCTGCTGAATAACACAATTAAATTAAAAGACCGCGCCTTGTGCGCACTGCAACCTCATATTAATTCAACTATAGTAGTAATACTAGCGTGAGCAGCATCCCAATTGACTTTTTGTGCGTGGGGGTTTGACCCTGATGCTTTTTCTGTGGTCCAAACCTGTATTCATCTCGCTTGCAAAAACTTTTGCCCGATTGAATTTAATTAATAGAAATATTATACCGTAGTTTTCACCCTGACAGTGATAAATGTCTTGTGCTTATATAAAAGCTCGAGCTTTTATTTTTCTAGCTAAAACTGTTTGTTTTGTTCACTACCGGTCATTTTATAGAATTTAACTAAGCGAGTTTTTGTGAGAAAGATGAAGCTATTCTCGCGTTGAATTATTATGCATTCATGGTGCCGATATATAAAAATGGCGTCGTATATCCTGAACGTGTGTGGTTGTTTTGTAGGCGCGTTTCTGAGCATTTGTACCAATTGACATGTTCTATATCACGCAAATCCCTCAGGGATTGTCACCATGCTTGTTATTTATGGTACCGCTGTGAATATCATACGCATACGCGTACGTCATACTAAAAACTCGCATCCCGTGGTCGAGAAGCATTCTGAAAATTCGTTACGGTTGACGGAGAGGTCTGGGGACAACTGCTTTTTAATATTTCAGTGGTGTTTTCAAAACATCAATATTATATCAAAGCGGACGAACATTAACGTGAATTATGGAACGACTTTAATTACTTTTGACATGAGTTATTGCTCTGATCTAATTTCAAAAAACATTTTCGATTATTTAGAACTAAACGAAACATTCAAAAAACGAATTTCGTTCGTATATCTCACAAAAAGATTTACGTCCACTTGGGCGGTTTAAAGGGATCGTTTGACATTCTTTCCCTTTTGCATTATTTGTTTTGGGACCGGTTATTTATATTACAATAATGCCCGAAATAAACTTACAAATAATGGCCTTTTTATACTTAATTTCTGTTCTTTAGTTTTATAATGTTTAATCCATAAAATATTTGTTGGTTTGATCTGTGTTTGTGTTTTAAAGATTTTGCTTTGCTCAAATGTGGGACAGTGATATTTGTAACAGTCTTGACAATTATGTTTTGTAAAACATTTATACTCTATCATCACCACCAACACACACAATAATCTCTGTTATGTGCAAAATATAGGGTGATTCTTAAGTACACCGACAAAATTGTATCCTTGGTAGTATCAAATGAGAACATACTGGAAAAAATATTTAAAAAATTCTTTGTTTAAACATTCTTCAAATAAAATTTATTAATGTTATTTTCGAAGTAAAGCGTACGCCACTGATGTGTTAGCACAGGTAGTGGAAACCATGGTACTAACGTACTTGATCATTACACCAATTCATAAACGCCGTAAGTGGCACGGATCAAGGGGGTTTTGCCCCTAAAAGGTATAAACGTAAAAAGGGTACAGTTTGTCTCTATTTATCCTTAGAGGAAGCTGTGATAAAATTTTGTCGGTCTATTTAAGAATCACCCTGTATAACTCATTTTCATGTACGGCGGAAATTGTTTAATTTTTTTAATGTAATTTAACTGATTTAAAAAATTATTGTCTAATTGTCGAGAACCCAATCACTGTGCTTGTTCTCAAACATCAAATTTTCTAATTAATCATAAGACAGAAAAATAATGTTGTTACATAATGTTAAATAGTGTTGTTACACTAATTCAACTAAAACAACAGATTTTGCGGAAAAAAGAATTTAATAAAAAAAAACTTCAAGTTGTTTCGAAAAATTCTGGTGTTTTGTAGTAAATCATAACTCAACTACTCCGGCTTGACCCACCCATTTCCTCCCACTTTTCCAAGTCGTTAACTTTTTACTGGAATTAAACGTACGTGAACCCTTTCATAAATTTAATTTTGACTTGTCCGCACAAAAATTATTGCCTTTCGAACAATACATATGGCTGTGTTATGACAGTCGTCGGTCGTAAATCTTCATTTCTAGAATATAACGATTTTCAACATTTTGTATTGTGCAGAAATCTACAGTTTTTAACAAGGACACAAATCGATCATAAACGACAATTTCCTCAAAATAAAATTTAAAAAATATTTCACTTTCTTGCTAATAAAGATAAGAATGGCGAATGCGCCGGGCCAAATATCGTCCATTATTTTACAGTTTTGAAATAAACGTGTAGCGTGTTGTTAGATTATTTACTTGGCTATAAAACGTTGAGAGATACACAGTTGTCTGTTTATTGTGCCTTGACGAGATCGGAGGATAGGTGGTTAGCTGCAGTGGTTTCCTTCTCCAATTTGTTGATGTGTTTGTGTCAGTAACGAGTTGTTGACTTAACTAGACAGCAAACGTATTACTTTGGGTGTCGTCAATTGGTTGATTCGATCAAGGGGGAAGCAGCTAATGCACGTGTGGCCCTCCCTTAGTCTAATCAAATACCCATTTATCAAATGGCATTTATGAAATCCGATAAAAATAAGGATCTCGCTCATCGTCCGGTATTAGAGCAAAGCGGAGTCGGAATTTATTTATTGTTCGATCTCTTTCGGGATTTTATATCGTCCCCGAAGGTAATTGCACAGGTAATGTTTGCGCCTTAAACTCACAAGTATAAAATAAACCACGTGTTGCGCTTGTTTAGACGGAAGGCCTCTTTGGTTTTCGCCTCACGTCCAACTTCGCTCTGCCTTCGAGCTTCAGTTTTCATGACGACGATAAAATAAAACAGTATAGTGGAAGTGCACAGTTTTCACATGTGGTCTACATACATGCAAAAGGGGCTCGAGGGCGACCACATATCATCACGAAAATTTTTTGTTTGTGTGTAGGCTTTAATTTCTGTCAGATAATTGAAAAGTTTTGAATTCAATATTAGAGAACGATCGAAAAATATAATCGAAACAAATTTTACTTCTGCACAGATAAACACGTCTTATTACGAAACTGTAGCTATTGTTTTGTGCTTTGAAATTACAGTCTCTCGATCTTGTTTCGTTTTATTTTTAACTCGTTTGCAGGGATTCCGGTTTTATAAAACAATTCCGACAGTTTTCAATTTGGTTGTTTTTTTCTAAACAATTTAGCGAAGTGCTTTATTGGCAAGCAATTCATTTAATGTTGCGAATTTACATTTGAATTACAAAACCGCTAGCCTGTTGCCGACATCATCACATTTCGGTCTATTCTATTTACATTTCGTTAAAGCGAAATTAAATGTACACAATGAAACAATATTTTAAGTTGTTTTCGTAATTCTTGCTTTGCATTTTGTTAGAATTTCAAATACTCGCGGCTAGTTTCTCCTACTTGAATATACATTTGTCGGAAACTCTTTATTTTCTTATATTATTCACAATTTTAAATTTAAATTTGACAGTAGCTGGTAAATTTAACAAGCAAGTTTTTAATTAGAATTAAAACAATAATATTTTTATGAACATTTTTTTAATGGTGGATGCGCCGGGCAAATGATAAACGTAATGAGAATATTATTTGTGTAACTACAAAATAGTGAATAATTAGTTTCGTTTTTGTGTTAATTTAAGGTTGAATCATATTTATTTTCTCCAAATTCTCATTTGTTAATCGATGTTAATTAATTAATCATTAATCTCGATAATTAACGCGTTCGTTGCCCCACAACCTTGAAATTTTTCGATCAATTTTTGGTGACAAATTCATGCATTAAATAATATTCTTAATTAAGTTTTAGTTGTAATTATATCTTAATTTAATTATAATTTTTTGTTTTTATAAGTTCTGTTTTACTGGAACTAAAATGATTGGTGCATTGAGCAAGTAATTTTTTATGAAAATATGTTTTTATTTTAAAACTAGAGTGTATACATACACAATATTTTTATTGCTTATTGTTACTTGTGAAATATTTATACAGAATAAGATACTAGGTACATGAAAATAAAATTGAAAAAATTCAGGTTATAAGAATTTCGAAATTATGGCGGTTTAAATCACTTTGACTATATTTATTTTTGTTAGAAAAATAATTTTACATGTTTTTTGCTGCAGGCTATTAGAAAAGCAAACAAAGAAACTGTATCCTGAATTATAATTATGTTTGTGGCTTTTATTGACAAAGTTTTTGTACTTTTACTGATTAATTATGAAAAAACATATACAAGATCACATTAAATAGATATAAAAAATAAATGTGTTTTTTTTTGACAATTAGAATTTTTTAAACAATTTTTCTTGTTTCTGGTATCTTATCTTACTTGTAATTTTTTTTTGATTTGCGAGTTGTAAGGAACAGCCTGTATAATTACTAGTAGTAAAGTAATAGTTATTTATTACTTCTTCTATTGAAGTTTTTTCAATTTCGTTTTTAATATACAAAGAGAACAAAGTTTTATAACATCGAGTTTAAAAGTTGCAAACTTTCCGTAGGAAAAAACACAATAAAGTAGCTAAACAATTTTAGAAAAATTTTGATGTATTACAATTTCAAGCAAAATTTAAATATTATGAAAGGTAAAAATTGGTGGCGGCGAGTTTTCTTTCTAAATACAATTCTTACAATATTTGTAATGAATTTTGGAATCAAAAACTTGGAAGCAATTAAGCGATAATTGAAAAACATACTAAATCACAATGAAATTTTTTTCAATCACTGAAAGTTTGTCAAAAGCTTTGCAGTAATTAAATTCCTTTCAGTAAATTAATGAAATACCGTTTTGTGTATATTTTTATTAATCAAGTTTTCTAATCTAATTTTGCACACTGTCTTAAACACATAATCTCGGGTGAGTTAATTAACTAAAAACTTGCAAATTCCGGGCATAAAAGAAAAACTTGAATACGTTAACCGCTTCTAACCACCGAGATGAGACTTTTAAAATAATTAAAGGGTCGTTATTCAAAAATGTGCCAACGTTTAATACGAAAAAGAACAGCTTAATTCAAGCGTCGATCTTAAAAAAAGAACGTATTTTACCCTGACACTTCCGGGGGGTGAGATTAATGTGCGATATCCGGCATAGATGTATCCAAGTAAGGCCCACAAATCAACCCTCAGTGACGTACAATTAAAATCG